ATAAATGCATGCGGGAGAAAGAAGAAGCAAGATATCAGCAACAATCTGTATTTCTATGGGACCTTTTAAAGGTTAAAAAAAATCCCAAGGCATTTCATAGGAGCATTTTGGAGCAAAGTTTGACACTGAACCATATTAGGAGATATTGGGGCCAATAACTTTTTTAATCAATGAAGTAGATTTCAAGAGTGCCCTGAGCGAGGTAGCAAGACTATGAAGTTTCAAGAGTTCCAGAGCTTGAGTATTGGATATCCAAATCCATGGCTACCAATAGTGCAGCATCTAAAATTGTGGATGTTGGGGAGACCAGAATTAGAAACGCACAAATATCTTTAATGGATGTGAGGCTGGAGTAGTTTACCAAAACAGAGAATAGTAAAGCCTTGGAGGGATTTGAAAACAAACAATGCCTTGCTTTTAAAACTAACTTCCTGAACGAGAGCAGTAAGGTCGGGATGATGGGTGAAAAGCAGCTGAGTTTTAAGTGATCTCATGCTTACAAAAGGGTGGAATGTGTGATACTTGCACAAACAGACTGGTACCACCTTGGTAGGTGAGATGGCACTGCAAACAACTTGAAGGTTACAGACTGTGTCTTACAGCTTGCTGACCATGAGGTTTACAGATGTTCATAAGTTAAAAACGCTTTAGGATTGGAATCAAGTGACATATAGTCAACAGCAAACAGTGATGAATTAAAGGAGCTAATGAGAGTATAAAAGAGCTGGATTCATTAAAATTCATTCATACTAACTTATTAAACTAACAAACAGCTTTAAAAGAAGCTGACATGAACAACGAGCTCAAGGAGATTCATAGTAGACTAAGACTTTAGAGGTCAGTGCATCACAGGCTTGTCACTAGCCATAGTTATAAGCAACAGTCCACAACTTTTATTATGATGCTTAAAAGCATTCTTCGAAGCAACAGTGATTTAGAAATTGGAATGTGAGTTCTGAAAGCATGAGATTATTTAAATGGCATTTTCCTTCTTGAATATTTTCTTTTTGCCACCTGAATTGTTTGTATTAGTAAATAATTTGAAGCCAACAAATGAAACATCTTAGGCTACTTGTCAAACCAAGGTTTTCAGGCATCTATTTCGCAGACCTATATCTAAATTGTAGCAATTCCACAAGTCCAGTGAACAGATGAAGCCAAAGAATATACTTCGACTAGAGAATAGCTTCCCTCGGAAAGCAACTGCAACCAATATTTAACAAATTTAATCTTGTTAGGAATGTGACACAGGCAGTGGAACTTAATCCTCCAGCCGGGCCAAGATTGCTCACTGTTTTCTTTTAGACCTTCTTCATGATGCCGTGGGCAAATATCTGCCTCTTGTGGAAGTGCAACATCAGCCGACAGCCCAAAAGAAAACAAAATCTAGGTTCTATTCAGAACTTAAAGACAGGAGGCTTATTAAAGAGACTGGTGCTGTCAGACAATCAAGTATAAAGCTGTTACTATTGGATTTCTTGGATATTCTGTTTTGCTTGGTTTTTGTGTGTTTTTAATTCTGGTCTTCTCTACATCTGCAATTTTAAATACTTCACTATTGGTGGCCATGGATTTGGTTATCCGGGACTCAACCTCTGGAACTCTTGAAACTTCCCATGAAGCAGTCCATGTTCAAATGCAGCAAGATCTAGACAATATCCAGGCTTGGGCTGACAAGTCGGCAAGTAACATTTGTGCCACAGAAATGCCAGACTATGACCATCACCAGTAAGAGACAATCTAACCACTGTCCCTTGACGTTCAATGGTGTTACCATCACTGAATCCCCCACCATCAACATCCTGGGGGATTATCATTGGTCAGAAACTCAACTGGACTCACCATATAAACACAGTGGCTACAAGAGCCAGTCGGAGGCTAGGAATACTGCTGCGAGTAACTCATTTCCTGCCTCCCAAAGTCTGTTCACCATGTATAAGGCACAAGTCAGGAATTTGATGGCATACTCCCCACATGGCCTAGATGGATGCAGCTCCAACAATATTCAGGACAAAGCTGCCCACTTGATTGGCACTCCATCCACAAACATTTCTCTCTCTACCACCGATGCTCAGTAGCAGCAGTGTGTACTATGTACAAGATGCACTGCAGAAATTCACCAAAGATCTTCTGACAGCACCTTCCAAACCCACAACCACTTCCATCTAGAAGGACAAGGGCAGCAAATACATGGGAATACCACCACCTGCAAGTTCCCCTCCAAGCCACTCACCATCCTAACTTGGAAATATGTCATCTGAGTCAAAATCCTGGAATTCCCTCCCTAAGGGCATTGTGGGTAACCCACAGCAGATGGACTACAGCAGTTCAAGAAGGCAGCTCACCACCACCTTCTCAAGGGCAGCTAGGGATAGACAATAAATGCTGACCAGCCAGTGACACCCACATCCCACGAATGAATAAAGAAAATTTCTGAGGAATTGTGGCACTGGTGTTGCCCAAGGATTTAACTTTGGCCCCATTCTACTTCTTATTTACACACTGCCAGTTGGTGACACAATCTGAAGACAAACTGTTAGCTTTTACATGTATGCTGAATACACCCAGCTTTACTTCAGCACCACCCTCTCAACTCACCCACTGTTGCTAAATTGTTGGACTGCTTAAGCAACATGCTCCAATTAAATCTTGGAAGACTGAAGCCATCATTGTCATTCTCCATTCAAAGCTGCATTTGCAATTGGTGAGGCTGTCCTTTTCTCTGTCAATACTCTGAGACTAAGTCAATTTGTACATACCCTTGGTGCCACATTGATTTAAAGGCCAGCCTCCTAAGATGCATTTGCACCATCCCTAAAACTGCCTGTTCACTTTTGTAACATCATTCGACTTTACCCTGTCTCTGTTCATTGTGTTGAAGTTCTCACTCCTATCTTAATTTCCTCCAGACTTGTCTATTCTAATGCACTCCTGGCTGCTTTCTCACTTCTTCCATCTGTAAACTGGACACTGCCAAATTTCTGTCTGCGGTAGGTCCCCTTCCCCTGTCAATTCTATGCTCACTGATGTATAATGGCTCCCAGTCATAGATTTAAAAAATCATGAAGGGCATAAATAAGGTTAATACCAAAGGTCTTTTTCCTAGGGTGGGGGAAGTTCAAAACTAGGGGCATGTTTTTAATGTGAGAGGAGAAAGATTGAAGTGGGACATGAGGGGAAATTTTTTCATATAGATGATGGTTCACAATGTGAAATGAACTGCCAGAGGAAGTGGTAGATGCAGGTGCAGTTACAACATTTAAAAGATATTTGGACAAATACATGAATAGGAAAGGTTTAGAAGGATATGGACCAAATGCAGGCAGATGGGAGTAGTTTAGGAAATGTGGTCAGTATGGTTGAGTTGGACCAAAGGATCTGTTTCCATGCTATACGACTCTATGACCAAGCTTTTGATCACCTGGCTTAATATCTCTTTATATAGCTTGGTGCCGTACTTTGTCTTATAATGCCCTTGTAAAGTACTTCGGGGTGTTTCATTACATTTAAAGATGTTATATAAATATAACTTGTTGTTGGTAAGGTCTGTGGAAGCAGGTTTGTGAAGCCAAAGTGTGTGCTGGGAGATTTCGGGGCAGCACGGTGGCTCAGTGGCTAGCACTGCTGGCTCAAAGTGCCAGGGACCTGGGTTCGATTCCAGCCTCGGGCAACTGTCTGCATGGAGTTTGTGGATTTCCTCAGGGTGCTCCGGTTTCCTCCCACAGTCCAAAGATGTGCAGGCTAGGTGGATTGGCCATGCTAAATTGCCCATAGTGCCCAGGGATGTTTGGGTTAGACATTAGAAATGCAGGGGTAACGGAATGGGTCTGGGTGATGCTCTTTATTGGGGCGGTGTGGACCTATTGGGCCGAATGGCCTGTTTCCACACTGTAGGGATTCTTTGACATCGGGTGTGTGTAAAATGGGCATGCAGTTATGTATTGCCCTTCATGCATTACAGCTTAAGATGAACTTTATTCCAAAGATATTTTCTGAAGCCTGTAACCTCTCGTTCAAACAGAAGAAAATAAATACAGAGCTTCCATTTAAGTAGCAACTCTTACGTCTTCAGGAACTGCAAAGAATGGAATAACCAGTGAAATACATTTTTGAATTATATTTTTGTCCTCATGTTGGGTAATGTGGCAGCTAATGTTTGTATGAAGTTCTGTAAACAGCAATGAAACAAGTAGCCAAATAATGAGTTGACATTTCTGTCAAGGAACACCTAAATGACTACTCTAAAAGTTTCTCCAGGTTTATTCAGCTTCAGACTACGCCTGACCAGCAGAAATCTGCAATATTTACCTGAACTTATAATTTTTGCACCCTCTTCAGGTACATTACTTTCTAGTGATGAACTGAATGTAGGAAAGTTCAGAAGCAATGCTATTCAATAGTAAAGATGAGTTGGTGGTTATCGAAAGGGCTAATGTAAAATGTTCCTATTTTTCTGAGATGACTTGAGAACCTGCAAAATCCAACTTTATAGCCACTTTGCTAGCAAATCAATGGTTATCAATAACTGACCTGTCAAAAACAAACAGCCTATTTTCAAGTCCCATCTTCCTGGATTTGTGTTTTAATATGTTGATCAAAAATATCCATAATAAGGAAAATTGGTTTTAAATAAGATGTTTCAGAAGATGAATTGATTTGAGAGAGAGGTCTTCATACAGAATGTCTGCACATGGAGAGTGGGTGGACTACTGGGGTCTACATAAAGTTCTGTTTGCTCAGGTTGCGAGCTATTGTTTCCTAACTCCCATTATTGTGAAGCAACCAGATTTCACCAGTGTGCTATTTGCATTGTCATTTAGTCAACAAGCAACCTTTAGACATTCAGGAAAAGAATAATTATTGTGCCTGCAATTGCAAAGTTTGGACATTTAAACTTTGAAATGTTGAAATCTCAAATAATTGCAATCTTTTCTAGCCCTTCTTGATCGGAGTCTCTCCCAATACACTCCAACATGTTAAAATGTGCCTCTCTCTTTCAGAAGAGTTTGGTGAACCTGCGGTACAGAACGAAGTGGCTGCAAATACCTTTGGACACAAACCAGTTCTCAACAGAGAGGCTGTACCTGACAGTTGTTCCAAAAAAGGGGAAAAGCGTATGGAATTTGTTTTGATGGTAAGTTGTCCTTAATGTACTATATTAGTGAGAGTATAAAATTTAGCTCTGTTTTATTGAGAAATGTGTACAAGAAAACACCCACAGGAGCTTTGCATATGATAGATTAACACCCTCTTAGTTTCATTCTGAGCTTGCTAACAGAAGAAAATTAAGCTGAATAATATATTAGGGTACCTTCCAAAAAGTACGTGCATCTATGTTTGTGTTGTGTGTGTATGTGTTTGTGTTGCGTGTACCTGTGTATGTTTGTCTATCTGTTCTATTGTCTGTCTATTCACCTGTTATTATCAGTAAGCCAGGAAATCTGGTTCAATCAACATTGCAGGAAGACATTGCAACCTCAGCACCAGTGTATATTGTCTACCTGTATGTGTGTGTGTATCTGTTTGTGTGTTTGTCTGTGCCTGTTTATCTGTATGTGTGTCTGTCTGCATGGCCACAGACATGTGTGCTTGCATTGTTTCTCAGACAGGATAATGCATGGCACAATGATAATGTCGGTTACAAATAGTTCTTCTCCCAGCAGTCAGAGTTCCATGACTAACGTCACATAGAGCTGTACAGCATGGAAACAAACCTTTTGGTCCAACTCACCCATCCTGACCAGATATCCTCAATTAATATTGCCAGCGTTTGGCCCTTATCTCTCCAAACCCTTCCTATTCATATAGTGTTCCAGTGTTCCAGCCTCCACCACTTCCTCTGGCAGCTCATTCCATACATGCACCACCCTCTGAGTGAAAATGTTGCCCCGTAGGTCCCTTTTAAATCTTTTCCCCTCTTGCCTTAAAACTATGCCCTCTAGTTCTGAACTCCCCCATCCCAGTGAAAAGAGCTTGGCTATTCACCCTATCCATGCCCCTCATGATCTTATAAACCTCTATAAGATCACCCCTCAGCCTCCGATGCTGTAGGAAAAATGGCCCCAGCCTATTCAGCCTCTCCCTATACCTCAAACCCTCCAACCGTGGCAACATCCTTTAAATCTTTTCTGAACCCTTTCCAGTTTCACAATATCCATCCTATAGCAGCATCGATAGAAGTGACTATTGCAGGGTCCTTGTTGTGAGGAAGACTTGTCTTCACATCAAAGATACGCTCCATCATGTTGTGCTAAATGGGACAGACCCCAAACAATTAAGTCAAGCTGATGAAGCTACTACACAAATTACTTGCATATCAGGCTCTGTAATAACGATACACTAGCTAATCCCGTAAACAAAGGATCACATCTAAGATTTGTATCCAGTTACATCTACTGGTGAATGGTGATAGAAGGCTAAAGAATTAAAAGGAGGTAGAAACTCCACAAAAATTCCCATCCTGAATTGGGGGTGGGTTTGGGGGGAGGAAGGGAGTGAGCCTAACACATCAGTTCTAAAGATCAGGCTGAAGCATTTGCATCCATCTTCAACCAGAAGTGGTGAGTGAATCATCCATCTCAACCTCCTTCTGAGCGTTACAGGTACCAGTCTTAAACTAATTTGATTCACTCCACATAGTATCAAGAAATAGCTGTAGGTCCTTGATACTACAAAGGCTACAAGTCCTGACAGCATTCTGTCAATTGTATTGAAAGTTTGTGCTCCAGAATTAGCTGTATTCCTAAACAAACTATTCCACTACAGCTACGACATTGCCATCTACCCGACCAATGTGGAAAATTGCCCAGGTATGTCCTGTCCACAAAGCAGGCTGAATACAAATATGGCCAATTGTTGCCCATCAGGCCACTCTTGATCAGCAGCAATGTGATGGAAGGAATGGTCATCACTACTATCAAGCAGCACTTGCTTAGTAATAATCTGCTCATTGATGCTCAGTTTGGGTTCCACCAGCGTCACTAAGCTCCTGACCTCATTACTTTCTTAGTCTAAACATGGACAAAACAGCTGAACTGCAGAGGTGAGGTGAGAGTGGCTACCCTTGACATCAAGGCAACACTTGATCAGGTATGGCATCGTGGAGCCCTAGCAAAACTGGAGTCAAAGAAAATTGGGAAACTCTTTACTGGTTGGAGTCATACTTGGTGCAAAGGAAAATGGTTGATGCAGTTCAGTCATCTCCGTTTAAGGACGTCACTGCCAGAGATCCTCAAGGTAGTGGCCCAGACCCAACTATCTTCATCTACTTCATCAGTGATTTTACCCTCCATTATAAGGTGGGAAGTGGGGATTTTCACCGATAGCGCGATGTTGAGCACCATTTGCAGCTCCTCAAATACTGGAAGCGATCCAAGTCCATATGCACAAAAACCTGGATGAACACCAGGCTTGAGTTGACCAATGGGAAGCAACGTCTGTGCCACCTAAGAGCCAGGCTAAGGCCCTCTATGATGTGGTGTTTATCACAATCAGTTTGCTGGGTCCTGGTCTCAGTGTTCTTAGATTCTGGAAATGACCAAGAGGACTGAAAACTGTCACTGTAACAGTCTTATTTAAAAGGGGAGAGAGACGAAACCAGGTAACTATGGGCCAGTTAGCTTAACATCTGTTTGAGAAAAGTATTAGAGCCTATTAAAAAGGTTGTAGTAGCAGGGCATTTAGCAATACATAATTTTGTTCAAATGGGGTCAACATTCCTCTTGTGAAAGAGAAATAATACTTGACAAATTTAATAGTAACAAGCAGGATATATAAATGAGAACAAGTAGATGTAATACAATTGAATTTACAAAAGGTATTTGATAAGGTACTATAAATAAGATTACTTAATAAAGTAAGAGCTTACGGTGTTAGCAGTGGTCTCTTAGCAAGGATAGAGAATTGGCTAAATAATAGAAGACACAGAGTTGGGATAAGGAAATATGTTCAGGATGGCAACCTGCCACATATGCTGGAGTCATAATTGTTCATTAATTTCTATCACCCAGGTTATTAAATATATGTACTATTGGTATATTTACAGTGTTACAGTGACAGAAAAAGAAGGCAAAGAGAGCACTGAGGATGACACAGTCTGCAGATTGATATAGACAAGTTAACTGAGTGGGGCCAAAGCTTTGCAGATAGAATATAATGTGGGAACACATGAGGGTATGCACTTTGGCAGAGAGAATCAAGGGGCTGAATATTATTTAAATGGTGAAAGACTGCAGAAAGCTGTAACAGAGGGATCTGATTTTCCTCTTGCATAAATTACAAAAAGCTGGCATACCCCCAAGTTTAGCAGGTGATAGGAAAGGAAAATGGAATGTTGGCTATGTTTCAAAGAGAATGGAATGAAAAATAGGGAAGTCTTACTAAAATTACCCATCTACAGTACTGTGAACAGTGTTTGTTTCCTGTCTAAGGAAAGGTATATTGGCATTTGAGGCAGTACAGAGCCATTCAGTAGATTGATCTTGGGCATAAAGGGACTTTCTTATGAGAGGCTGGGTATGTTGGGACTGTACTCATTAGAATTTAGAAAAATGAAAGAAGATCTTATTCAAACATACAGGATTCTTAGGGGGCTTGATGGGTTAGATGTAGAGAGTTGTTTCCCTGTGTGGGAGACTCTAGGACCAGAGGGCATAATCTCCGAGACAGAGGTCATCCATATAAGACAGCAAAGAGAAGAAAATCATTCTCTCAGACAATAGCAAATCTGTGGAATTCTATCCTGCAGAGGCAGCAGTGGCTGTATCATTACAACTGAAAAATACATTTTTAATCATTAAGGGAATCCAGGGTTATGGGGGAAAACGCAAGATGCGGAGTTGAGCATTTTCAGATCAGCCACGATCTTACTGAATACCATCCAGTAGACTTGATGGGCTGAATGGTCCACTTCCACTCCTACATCTTATGGTCTTTTGAAATATTTTCTTCAAACTCTGGAAGTTATTTTTTCAAGCGGTGCTATTTATTTAAAACATTTATTGAAGATCAATTTTTTTTCTGTGGCTTGCATATTCACTGGATTAGCCAAGCACAAGATCTAATAGTGAGGATGAGGCAACCACCATTGGTATAAGACCACAAGAGCTATTTCCGAACTTGCCATCAACACCAGAAAAGTCACACAAGTGGATTCAGCCCATACCACCATCAACGACAGAGGAAAAAAGGTGGCACCAGCAGCGGACTGTTCAGGCGGATCTCGTACCTATCAATGTGACTGGTATGATTTATTCCCTTTCCTGTTTGTTACAGACATATACTGGTGGTTGGGAAGAGGATCAATGAGAGCCAGAACTGAATGTCAGGGTTGATCACTGGAAGAATGAATGAGGCAAGATTAGTCAGTGCAGAATGGAGAAGGAGTAGAGGCTGTTGGGGTGACAGCAGCTGCCTTTCCTGCCCAGGGAACAGAATGGAATCTCCATGTTTAGATGTCATTCCCCACCCACAGCCAGTGGCCAAAGGGAGGCCACTCCTGTGAAGCTAGCAGCTTCCCCACTGCACCACCAGCAAAATGCTGTCATTCAGCAGTCTGCTGACCTGGGCCCTTACTCACTGACATATTGCTGGTTATCCTTTTACTGAAGCAGCTGGATTTAGTCTGTCTTCCATCACTATTTGTTTGCATTTTATATTTCAACACAAATTCCAGACTGTGCCTACTCCTTCTTAAACAATTACCCTCTCTGGGGAATCTCAATGTTGTTTGTTGAAAATCCTACCGCCAATTTATACACCAGATAATCAAAAAAAAAACACACACACTGCCTACCAGGGAAGTGTAATCAAAGCAAAAGAAATAAAAAGAAGAAAACTAGGGAGGGAAATCAATCAAAATAATATTGGACGGGAGATAATGCACCCCAAAAGCATAGAGGGGGAATACCAGCATTTTTTTAAAAATCCCACCAAATCACACATGTGCTAATTTGTTTATGTAGATGATGCACATAATTCTCAACCTTTTTGGATGGATGGATATGGCGCCTCAGTCATTGAGTTTAGAATTAAATGTCAGGTATAGCCTTACAGACCATAGGGCTGGTAGTGGTTTAATTTGAGGCACACCATGGCCTCAGGTGAGGAGTGAGTTTGAGAGGGGGAATCTTTCATAGTTACCTCAACCAGTGTTAAAATAGAGGTTGACCAATTTCAAAATACCAAAGATGTAAGGGGTTGCAGGGAAATTGTGGGACTAAGATATTGAAGCAAATAATCAGCCGTGAGCATATTGGATGGCAAAGCAGGCTCAATGGACTATATATAAGTTATAATACTCTTTTATGTTCCTCACCCTAACAGTATTTTGCCTGGGAAACCCTGACTGCTTTCCTGTTCTCTACCTCGCTGGGCAGGTTAATGACTCCCGAGTGCTGCACTTTGTAAAAATTGAATCCTTCTCAAGTATTAACAAACTCTCCTGGAAAAATAAGCTGCTGACGTTTACTGCACATGAAGCAGTCACATGAAGAGATGCAGGAAAGCTTTAAGCACACAGACCTTTGATTCGGTCAATTCCTTTTGAAACAAGCAAGGAGAAATGAAGAATGGGGGATGATGCTGAAGACGGATATAGTTTAGTTGGAAAAATGAAAGGTTTTGGGAAAGATTCATTTGTTTTTATCTTCATTCTTTATTAGGGGAGACCCTTGAGCGACACGCAAACACACACCAGTCTTTGTTTAACACAGAGACTGCAATGAACCCAAAGAGTACGCTGAGGAGGAGACGGACAATCACTGGTTTGCACGAGTCTAATCAGCCTATACAAGGTGAGCACCCCTGTCTGATCATATCTCTGGGACTGTTGCTGCATTCCAGTATATTAACCAGCTGAGAGATTCAATGCCTGTTGAGCTGAATTAGTGAATAATTATTGGGTGCTGTTGGTTACTGAGTTGGCGAGTGATTGTTAACTTTATTTTGATTTCAGTGATGCAATCCCCTTTTCTGTTTGCTTTCAGTCCCAAAAGCCAAACTTGATCTAAATATTTTGGGAGCAATTATCACATGCAAACATGAATTGTCTTGCTGTTGATGCTAAACCCAAACTTAAGACTTGATTTTCTCAATTGCTCAGCTGTAGAGAGAGCTCCGGCTTGTCTCTGGCCTTTATATTGATTTCGTCAACATATCTGATGTTCCAGATATTATTGCAGGGTTTAACTGTTCAAAAATAATTGCCTGAAATATCAGCTTTACTCAGTGATTAGAGAAAAATTCACTGTTGATCAGTAGCACCTATTTTAATTAGCAATGGATACAATTAATATCTCTTATCAAACATATCCTGTATTCCTGTGCCACGCAGCAGCTTACAGTTCCCAAATCTTTCACTCCATATTTTGTCAGTACTTAATGTTGCAAGAGTTTCAGATTAGTGTGGACGCTGTGTGTCAGAATAAAATGCCTGTAGCTAAATAATAACTGTGAATTTACTATCATAAGAGTAAAAACCCCAATTAATGTTTAATACTCCTCTGTAACATTCATTTTATTTTCAAAAAGGCATTAGGTTATTCACTCTCAATGCTTAAACATCCATTGTAATCTAACAAACTCATTAAGCAATCTAATACGAACTTTGACCATGAAAGGCAATAACAAAAACAAATAGTGTATTAAAATATGTTGCTACATCAGTCCAATACATGGTTTGATTTTATCCCATTTTTTTCTCCATTCCTTGTTTTACTCTTCTTTTTTCTTATTCCTTAACCTTAACTGTCCCAGATGGAAGCACTCGGTAGACCTGCACTGTCTGTCAAACTTATTTGTTCACAATTTCAAAAGAGATACAGCAAAAAATAAACGAAAAAGTATGAGCTTAGCCTTTAGCCTTCCTTCATAGAATTTAGGAGCAGGATTATTCTTTTCTTTAAAAAGTGTGAGATGAGCGTAAGAGGTGATGACTAACTCAAATTATCACCCTCCAGTTAGCTCATGATAGCTGAGCAGTGAGTGAGCTTCAGATAGTTTCTCTGTGAATTGTTGGCCTTGACACAGACATCCCAGGTTGCCAGAAACTGCTGGCCAGACACAAACCAGCAGTTTAGTCATACGGTTCATGAGTTGAGACCTGTCTCCTGGGGATTCAGCAGTGAGGAGGTAATATTCTTCTCACAAGGTGGGGGTCTCGGAGTGGCTAGTCAGAGGATCTGCAGAAGGATCATAGAACCCCTACAGTGCAGAAGCAGGCCATTCAGCCCATCGAGTCCACACTGACCCTCCAAACAGCATCGATCCCAGACCCACCCCCGTACCTTATCCCTGTGTCCCTGTATTTGCCATGGCTAATCAATCTAACCTGCATATTTTTGAAATGTGGGAGGAAACTGGAGCATCTAGAGGAAACCCACGCAGACACGGGGAGAACATGCATACTCACAGAGTCGCTCAAGGGTGGAATCAAACCTGGGTCCCCGGTGCTGTGAGGCAGTCGTGCTAACCTCAGAGCCACTTTGCCTAAGGTGGGGAGAATGGTGTGGATTTCCAAAGACAACAAGGTGCAGGGCTGGATGAACACAGCAGACCAAGCAGCATCATAGGAGCAGAAAGGCTGACGTTTTGGGCCTAGACCCTTCATCAGAAAAGGGGGAGGGGAAGGGGGTTCTGAAATAAATGGGGAGAGAGTGGGAGGCGGACAGAAGATGGATAGAGGAGAGGATAGGTGGAGATGAAACAAACAGGTCGAAGAGGTGGGGATGGAGCTGGTAAAGGTGAGCGTAGGTGGGGAGTTAGGGAGGGGATAGGTCAGTCCAGGGAGGACGGACAGGTCAAGGGGGCGGGATGAGGTTAGTCGGTAGGAGATGGGGGTGCGGCTTGAGGTGGGAGGAGGGGATAGGTGGGAGGACGAACAGGTTAGGGAGGCGGGGACGAGCTGGACTGGTTTTGGGATGCGGTAGGGGGAGGGGAGATTTTGAAGCTTGTGAAATCCACATTGATACCATTGGTCTGCAGGGTTCCCAAGCGGAATATTAGTTGCTGGTCCTGCAACCTTTGGGTGGCATCGTTGTAGCACTGCAGGAGGCCCAGGATGGACATGTCGTCTGAAGAATGGGAGGGGGAGTTGAAATGGTTCGCGACTGGGAGGTGCAGTTGTTTATTGCGAACCGAGTGTAGGTGTTCTGCAAAGCGGTTGCCGAGCTTCCGCTTGGTTTCCCCGATGTAGAGGATGCCACACCAGGTACAGCGGATGCAGTATACCACATTGGCAGATGTGCAGGTGAACATCTGCTTGATGTGGAAAGTCTTCTTGGGGCCTGGGATGGGGGTGAGGGAGGAGGTATGGGGGCAGGTGTAGCACTTCCTGCGGTTGCAGGGAAAAGTGCCGGGTGTGGTGGGGCTGGAGTGGAGTGTGGAGCGGACAAGGGAGTCACGGAGAGAGTGTCCCTCCGGAAAGCAGATAAGGGTGGGGAGGGAAAGATGTCTTTGGTCGTGGGGTCGGATTGCAGATGGCGGAAGTGTCTGAGGATGATGCGTTGGATCCGGAGGTTGGTGGGGTGGTACGTGAGGATGAGGGGGATTCTTTTTTGGTTCTTATTGCGTGGACGGGGTGTGAGGGATGAGTTGCGGGAGATGTGGGAAACACGGTTGATGGCGTTCTCAGCCACTGAGGGGGTGAAGTTACGGTCCTTGAAAAACGAGGACAACTGAGATGTACGGGAGTGGAATGCCTCATCCTGGGAGCAGATGCGGCGGAGGCGAAGGAATTGGGAATAGGGGATAGCATTTTTGCAGGAAGGTGGGTGGGAGGAGGAGCATTCTAGGTAGCTGTGGGAGTCGGTGGGCTTGAAATGAATATCGGTTTCTAGGTGGTTGCCCGATATGGAGACAGAGAGGTCCAGGAAGGAGGGAGAGGTATTAGAGATGGTCCAGGTAAACTTAAGGTTGGGGTGGAAGGTGTTGGTGAAGTGGATGAACTGTTCGAGCTCCTCGTGGGAGCACGAGGCGGTGCCGATACAGTCATCAATGTAACTGAGGAAGAGGTGGGGTTTAGAGCCGGTGTAGGTATGGAAGAGGGATTGTTCCACGTAACCTACAAAGAGCCAGGCGTAGCTTGGGCCCATGCGGGTACCTATGGCCACCCCCTTTGTCTGTAGGAAGTGGGAGGAATTGAAAGAGAAGTTGTTGAGGGTGAGGACGAGTTCAGCTAAGCGGATGAGGGTGTCAGTGGAGGGGGACTGGTCGGGCCTGCAGGACAGGAAGAAGCGGAGGGCCTTTAGGCCATCAGCATGAGGAATGCAGGTGTAGAGGGATTGGACGTCCATGGTAAAGATGAGGTGTTGGGGACCGGGGAATTGGAAGTTCTGGAGGAGGTGGAGGGCGTGGGTGGTGTCACGGACATAGGTAGGGAGTTCCTGGACCAAGGGGGAGAAAATGGAGTCTAGATAGTTGGAGATCAGTTCGTTGGGGCAGGAGCAGGCGGAGACAATGGGTCGACCAGGGCATTCAGGTTTGTGGGTTTTGAGAAGGAGATGGAAGCGGGCAGTGCGGGGTTGGGGACCGATGAGGTTGGAGGCCGTGGGTGGGAGGTCACCTGGGTGATGAGGTTGTGGATGGTTTGGGAGATGATGGTTTGGTGCTCAGGGGTGGGGTCATGATCAAGGGGGCGGTAGGAGGAGGTGTCGGAGAGTTGGCGTCTGGCCTCGGCGATGTAGAGGTCAGTGCGCCATACTACAACTGCGCCTTCCTTGTCCGTGGATTTTATGGTGAGGTTGGGATTGGAGCGGAGGGCTGCACGTTCTGCGGGGGAGAGGTTGGAGTGGGTGAGAGGGGTGGAGAGGTTGAGGCGATTGATGTCTTGATGGCAGTTGGAGATGAAGAGTCGAGGGAGGGTAGGAGGCCTTTGGGTGGTGTCCAGGAGGAGGGGGTGTGTTGGAAGCGGGAGAAGGGGTCAGTAGACGGAGGGTTAGGTTCACTGGTTGAAGAAGTAAGTGTGGAGGTGGAGGTGGCAGAAAAACTGCTCTATGTCCAAGCGTGAGCGGTATTCGTTGATCTGTGGGTGGAGGGGGACAAAGGTGAGCCCTTTACTGAGGACTGACCATTCGTCCTCAGTAAGGGGGAGGTCTGGGGTAGCAGGACACCAACAACAGCACATGCCGGTCACCATCATTTCCCAGTCAGTAAACTAGTCATCCTTGTTCACCAAGTGAGGTGTGAAGTTGAAGCCTTTTATTGGCCATTAGTTGACCTGTTAAGGGACTTAATTGACAATATGTTAGGAAAGTCACACATGGACTTTCTCACCTATATTTAATTAGTTAGCCGGTGAGAAAGGGCTGAGTTTCTTTCTAGGGCTAACACACCTTGTTTGCCTGTCTTGCTACTTGCAAGGAGAGGAAAGTCATATGCTAGGACAGTCCTTATAGCGGATAGTGTTATTGTTTGCCATTTAGTTGTTATGGACCTATGTTATAGTCTCAACTTGCTTGTGTTCAGGAAAGCCGTGTTACTGCACACAGTTTCAAACAAAAGCAAATGGGTTAACATAACCCAGGCGTTAACAGGCACCTGTACTGGGGAAAGTAGAAGCTGTACCATTGGGATAGTCTACATTTGAAGCATGCTTGGACTGGGGTTCTGGCAAACTACATAATTGGGGAATTAGAAAGGGTTTTAAAACTAAATAATGCAGGTAAGCAGCAAATTTGGTGAGATATGATAAATCCAAGATGAGAGACAAGGCAAGAGAGTAATAAATTAATATGGGGAGTGATGAACAAATAGTTCCAGTAATGGGTAGAGATTATACATTAACAGGTAAGACTAAAGATTACAAAACAAGTAAGAGGACAAAACTAATGATTCTGTATCTGAATACATGTGGCTTTAAAAAGTAGATGAATTGATAGCACAAATTGGAAAAAAAAAGTGGTCTAATAACCATTAAAGAAACATGGCTGCAGGTTGACCTAGAGATGACCTGAATATTGAAAGACACAAAACATTTAGGAAGAACAGGAAGCTAAAAAAAGGTGCTGAGTTGGGGAAATCTTTATTGTTTGGAGTCAGTCATCTCAGCTCCAGGATATCTCTGCAGGAATTCCTCAGGATAGTGTCCTAGGCTCAACCTTCTTCTGCTCCTTCCTCGATGACTTTCCCTCCACTATAAGGTTAGAAATGGAAATGTTTGCCAGTGATTTAAACAATGTTCAGCACTATTCACAGCCCCTCGGATAGTGAAGCAGTTCATGTCCACATGCAGCAAGACTTGGACAATATGCACTCAACTAACATTTGTGCCGCACAAATGCCAGACAATGACTGTCTCTTATCGGAGATGATCTAACCACTGCCCGTTGACATTCAGTGGTGTTTCCGTAACTGAAACCCCACTGCCAACATTCAGGGAGTTACCATTGATCAGAAACTCAACTGGCCCCAGGTACTAAACTCCCTAACCCTGTCTGCTTCTCTTTCCTCCTGAAGGACACTGCTTAAAACTTACCTGTTCTAATATTTCTTTACATGACTTAAGGTCAGTCTTTGCCTACTAATACACCTGTGAAAGTTTACAACATTGAAAGCACTATATAAATTGACTGACTGTTGTTAAAGAGACTATGGATTGGGAAGGTGAAACTACACTTTAATTACAGGCAGTAGAGTATGGTCTGGGGTTTATTGTGTTTGGAATGTTACTTTGCTGTAAAGACATAGGGAAAACCTAGTGAGTGAAAAACTTGGCTTTGTAGCGCTACTAGACTTGGTGCTATAGCAGTTGGAGACTCTCCAAGTGGGCAAGCAGCTCTCTGTGCCCCATGCTGGGAAGGACTGGAAATGGCAATGCTATTGGTATATCAGAAAGGTTCCAATTAGTCCGGTTATAACTACAAACAGCCACCCTGCGTGAGTTAACACAGTTTGGAAGCTTGGGCCACACAGGCCAAATAAATACAATCGCTTGGTGAGGCACCAAAGACACAATTGCCCCACCCTGCCCAAATCTTCGCCTCCACTAGCATGACTTAAATGTACAAGACTGAACCAGCAGGAAAAATGGTTTACATTAACTGTCAATGTTGCTTATCTTCTGGATGTATTATGGAGTACTGCTGGAAATGTTGCAGTGACTTCTTGGATTTGAACAGAAGTGTTGCTGCATTCTCAAAGGGAGACCTGAGGATGAGGTGGTCTGTCAACATAAAGGTTGCAGCTATGGCTGTTGAAGTACTTCAGGGTTTGTAACCTGACATGGAGGTGAAGCAGGGGCATTAGAGGAGGGATGTTCGGCATGAAGGGAGGAGGAACAGGAGGAAGAGAAGAGGCATGGGCTGTCTGTGAGCACTTATTCAGATTCAGGTTCCTTTAGGCCAACATCCTCACATTGTCATTGTTCCACAATATCCCAACTACCCAATTACCTATTTAATCACAGCATCATCTCGATCTGAATCCTGCAGGTAATCGAGTGGCCCCTGCTTAGACCAGCATTGCAGAAGATAAATAATGAAGCAACAAGTTTCTACCCCAATGCCCTCAAAATGGCTACAAACCAATTTTTAGCCCAAACTCCACTCCTCTTTGTGAAGGCATCTTTCATTCTAGGAAAAGGATTGGTGCAGTGGATAAAATTTGAAATTCCACTGCAATTTCAAAGGAAAGCCTTTTGATTTATTCCTGGGAGACCTCGTCAGGAGTACTATGTACAATATTGGTCACCTTACTTATAGGAAGATGTAAACTGATTTGGAGGCACTTCAGAAAAGGTTCACAAGACTATAACCTCTTATGGTTGGTTGTCTTATAAGGAATGTTTGGATGGGTTGTATCTGCTGGAGTTTAAAAGAGTAGGACGTGATTTGATTGAAACATTTAAAACTCTTAGAGTTCTTAACAAAGTATATGTCAAGAAGATAGGAGAAACAAGAGACATGAGTATATCAGAGTTGGCCATTTAAAATTTGTGAAGCTTTGGAACACTTTCCCTGAAACAGAGGTGGAAGCAGAATGCTTGAATATTTTTGAAGCAGAGATAGATTTTTGTTAAGCAAGAGGTTGAAAGATTAACGGGTAGACAGGAATGTGGATTTGAAGTTAGAATCAGGTCACCCATGATCTTATTGAATGGAGGAGAAGGCTTTAAGGGGCTGAATGGTTTGTATGTTCCTGTTTTTGTAATTAACTGGGTAGTAACTTCCTCTGGCGAGTTACTTATTATTTGGCTAACAGTGCCAACCACAGTCACATTTACAACATTATGACTACGTTGTAGATAAATCATCATTGTCACAAATAAAACCACACTTCTATGGACCTTCAGTTACAAAGTGCTAATTAAGCTAGTTAAACTTCATTTATTGTGTGGCTTTTGAATGCAACTCCTTGTAAATATTCAAACAAATATCATTTAATCAAAGGATCGCCAACATTTAGATGTGCTTCCTGCATGGAATTTAAATGTGTTGAAGGCTGCATTTCAGTTCTTTCTGTCATATGGGAGTATTGGCAAGAGTTATGTAGATTGCAGGATATGAGCTGTTCTAGGAATTAATGTTCTTTGATCTGTGTACAGTGATCATTAGATCAATTCTTTTCTTCATTCTAGGCCTTTCAACAGAAGGTTCCTCATCTCCACACACACTAACGGCTGCAGAGGCACCTCAGCATCTCTTTAATTTTGATGAAGATCTTAGTGTTACCAATGGGAAAAGGGATGTGGTCAGCAATGTTGGAATAGGGCAGTCTTTTCCCACAACGCTCAGGAAGGTACAGAGTGATCTGGGTCAAATAACAAACTCAAATCTATCTCAATCTTCAGGGAATATCACATTCACAATGAACAATGCACAAATGATGCACACATCTCTAAGTGAACATAGTTTCTCTTCACTTAACTCCTCTTGGGATCAAATGCGAGGAATTAGTTTTTCTTCTTCCTGGAATAACTCAAGTGATATAAACCCACCAAACTCTGTGTCAACAGAAGCTATGCATGTTGATGGACACGCTCTAGATACATTCAGCCAAACTTATTGCAATGGCCAGTCTCTCAAACAGCATGCAGTTTGTTCCCCAACTCAAAAGCAGATGTTGCCCCATGCTAATACATCGGGTCCAGGAGACCCATCTCATTCCTCAGACAGCCGGATGGAGGGTCATCGTCATTCATCCAGTGGAGCTTGCAACGGCAGTACTTCAATGTGTGCTCCTCAAATTTCAGATGTGGCTTTATCTGTATCACTTCAATGCTTGAAACATTCTTCACCCTGTGATTCAGAACTATCATTGAATGCTGGCTCCCATTCAGAATGCAATGTGGCATTATCAACCTTTTTGCCAAGGGAAGGTCAAGCACAAAATACCAGAGGTAATGCATTTGGCTCTTTCACATCAACTAGAGGAGAAACAGCAGCAAGGACTTCGAACCTTAAGGATATAAGGACCAATCATGAACGAATTATCGTTTACACAGCCAATGACCCAGATGAAGAAACAAACTCAAACCTGGAACTTCAAGTCCATTCTAATACAAATACTTGCAAGTTCCGGGAGAGATCATTGTCAACTCCCACAGATTCTGGATCATGTTGTTCATCAGATGCTATAAGAAGCTATGATTCCAAGTGTTACGATCACTCGCGGCGACATAGTGAAAATTACATCATGCGTTATCCAAGTGCCAGCTCAGAAGAAAGCCAAAGCACTGAGAATGTCTCCGTGATAACAGATCAGGAAGGAACACAAAAATCAAGGACTCGGTCGAGGAGTATTTCCCTGAAAAAACCAAAGAAAAAGCCTATTCCACCAGTGCGTAGTGTTTCTCTGAAGAAATGTGGAGTTAGCCCTAAACTTGAAGAAATTGCACCAAACATCTCACCAGGAGGGAATGGGCATATAAAGCTCTTTGTCCATCCAGAGAAGCAAGTCAATCAAAGTGAGTCAATAGACAGCAATGAATCCAGTGGTTTTGTATCAGATGCACGTTCTAGTTCTGCTACACCCACACTGAGAGATGGAGAACCCATACGGTATCCAGAGCATTGGTTTCTTAATGATTGGAAATCCAATGATCCGTACAGATCATTATCAAACTCTAGCACTGCGACAGGTATAACAGTAATTGAATGTGCAAAGTCACGTGGTAGTTCTGAATCCTTGACATCTCCATCTATTTCAAGAGCTACAACACCGTCCCAATTGTCTGTGGAAGCTGAATCTAAAATGTCATCTCCAGGGAAGCTTCCTGGTCTGATGTCGCCATCTAGTGGTTACTCAAGCCAGTCAGAAACTCCAACGTCTGTTTTCACTATGTCTGTTTATCAAGGCCATGTAGCACAACCAGCTGGCAAACCAAAGCCCAAGGTACCAGAGCGGAAATCATCATTGCAACCAACCTCTCCTAATGAGAAGAGTCCAAAGTCAAAGCGAGTCTTTGATCTACCCATAACTCCACCACCTCATTTGGATCTATCTGGGCTTAAGATACCTTTTAAAGGCAAATCCAAAGCCAGCAGACGACACTCTGATTCTTCAAATAGTACTAAATCTAGCCAGAAGCATAGCCCTAATCAACCTTCTATGCCAATCATAACACAGACTGTTTTGGAGTCAGTACGCCTTCGCTCAGTCAGCAGATCAGAAACCGAGGATAATTCAAAGATTTTAATTTCACCACAAGAAATCCACACAGAGTCATCTGAAACGCCTCAGAAAATGGCCCGTCCACCTGTTCCTGGAAAACCACCAATGTCAAAGAGGCCTTCAAGTATTGTACTGAAGGTTTCTCCCAGTGAGCACCCGACTCCCATCACTTCACCACCTTCAGAGGCAACTTCCAAAAGAGGTATTGTCACGGTCTTTAGAAAGGTTGGAGTAAAGAAACAGGAGTCAATTGAAATTGTGCCAAGTCAGAAACCGCCTTTGGTGTCACCCATTGCTGCATCTCCTCAATCTCACAATCTGCAAATTAACCATATGGACGCAAAGCCAACAAGAGGAAGACCAGCCACCACAGATGAGAGACCAGGGGAAAGTTTCACAGCCCTAACCAGGGGCTCCATGCAATATACTGAGAAGAAGAAAAGTAAGACTCCACCACCTGTCCCTAAGAAACCAAATGTGCTGATTGTACCAACGAATACAGCACACATACTCGTAGTCACAGAGCGTTCAGGACGGAGTCCACTACACAGTCCAGCTACTAATCCAGATTCCAACAGTGCCAACATTTCATTTCCTCAAGAGAAGAATGAAAAAAATTTGGAAGCGACTGTCACAAATGCATCACATGATCAGAATATTGATCCAAATCTAGACAATATACCACGTACCAGCATTCATTCCGGGAGCAACAGGAAGAAAGAATACAACAATGGATTTGGCCTATGCCAAAATATAATGTCGAGCACTGCTCCGGGACAGAATCCCACAGGTATGTGAAATGTCAGTGTAGAAGTTGATTGTTTATGAATTTGAAAGCAAATGTTCTGTTGCTATGTAACATTGACACCGATCTGGTTGACTGGTGATTTGAATATTAAATTTTCACCCCATTGAACTCCACTGAGATTACATTGTGATGTAGTATCTGGTCAGTAGGAAGCACTGGGGTCTTAAGCACCAACCTTAAACAGCTCAGTAATATATTTAAATCATCATTTTATATTAGGAACATTGGTATTGTGCCATTTGCTGCAAGGATACATGCAATTAAGAGTCAGCATAAAGTTCACTGTCCAGAGACAGTAATAGGTCAGCTATGCCCCCCACAATCTCCATTTCCTTATGGACATGAAGTAGTATTGACCTATAAGGATGATGTGTATGTGGAGAGCCACAGATTGTCATCTTCATGGATCCACCTCATAAAGCAACATTCACACCTCCAACAGCACCACGGGTCATGGAATGTTATCATTTGTTTGTTCCTTTCCATTAAACATTGTCTGTCACTGCCTGATACCATCTGACCATATCCAAAAGCAGTCAGAATTTCTGTCATCCTTTATTCTTGCATTCCTCTCATTCTTCCCTTCTCCTTCCATTTCATTGACTTGCAATTCTCAACACCCACCATGCAAAATTTGTGGCTGAAAATAGAGAATAGGTGACCTACAATTAAAAATAATGCAAGCAGCATGCTTCTAGTTGAATCTTTCTAAAATCAGCTGTGTCAAAAGTGAAGTATTTATACTTTGTTTTAGTTTGTTTGATGTTCATTTTTAACTCATTCACAAGTTAATGGAGGGTAATGGTGCTCCTGTTTGCTCTCATTATTCCACTGGCATGGGATGGTGGAAGAACAGGGAATTTAAGACCAGTTTAGCCTCACATCTTTTGTTGGGAAATTACCAGAGCCTGTTATTAAATAGAGGGTGAACACCTTGAAAATATTCAACTGATTAGGGACTTGTAAAAGATTGGTATTTTTAAAAGGTGACTAGAGTAATTCTCAGGGGAATGTTAATGGATGATATTTCAATGGACTGCAAAAGAAGTCCCTCATAAAGGACAGAGATAGTAGGAACTGCAGATGCTGGAGAATCCGAGACAACAAGGTGCAGGGCTGGATGAACACAGCAGACCAAACAGCATCGTAGGAGCAGAGAGGCTGACGTTTCAAGCCGAGACGCTTCATCAGAAAAGGGGGAGGGGAAGGGGGTTCTGAAATAAATAGGGAGAGAGTGGGAGGCGGATAGAAGAGGGATAGAGGAGAGGATAGGTGGAGAGGAAACAAACAGGTCGAAGAGGCGGGGATGGAGCCAGTAAAGGTGAGCGTAGGTAGGGAGTTAGGAAGGGGATAGGTCAGTCCAGGGAGGACGGACAGGTCAAGGGGGCGGGATGACGTTGGTCGGTAGGAGATGGAGGTGCGGCTTGAGGTGGGAGGAGGGGATAGGTGGGAGGAAGAACAGGTTAGGGAGGCAGGGACGAGCTGGACTGGTTTTGGGATGCGGTAGCGGGAGGGGAGATTTTGAAACTTGTGAAATCCACATTGATACCATTGGGCTGCAGGGTTCCCAAGCGGAATATGAGTTGCTGTTCCTGCAACCTTCGGGTGGCATCGTTGTGGCACTGCAGGAGGCCCAGGATGGACATGTCGTCTGAGGAATGGGAGGGGGAGTTGAAATGGTTCGCGACTGGGAGGTGCAGTTGTTTATTGCGAACCGAGCGTAGGTGTTCTGCAAAGCGGTCCCCGAGCCTCCGCTTGTTTTCCCCGATATAGAGGAAGCCACAGCGGATGCAGTATACCACATTGGCAGATGTGCAGGTGAACATCTGCTTGATGTGGAAAGTCTTCTTGGGGCCTGGGATGGGCATGAGGGAGGAGGTATGGGGGCAGGTGTAGCACTTCCTGCGGTTGCAGGGAAAAGTGCCAGGTGTGGTGGAGCTGGAGGGGAGTGTGGAGTGGCCAAGGGAGTCACGGAGAGAGTTGTCCCTCCGGAAAGCAGATAAGGGTGGGGAGGGAAAGATGTCTTTGGTGGTGGGGTCGGATTGCAGATGGCGGAAGTGTCGGAGGATGATGCGTTGGATTTTTCGGAGGTTGGTGGGGTGGTACTTGTCCTCACGTACCACCCCACCAACTTCCGGAAAAATACCTAGAATACTCCTCCTCCCACCCACATTCCTGCAAAAATGCTATCCCCTATTCCCAATTCCTTCACCTCCGCCGCATCTGCTCCCAGGATGAGGCATTCCACTCCCGTACATCACAGTTGTCCTCGTTTTTCAAGGACCGTAACATTTCCCCCCCCCCCCCCGCCAGTGGTCGAGAACTCCCTCAACCGTGTCTCCCACATCTCCCGCACCTCATCCCTCACACCCCGTCCACGCAATAAGAACCAAGAAAGAATCCCCCTCGTCCTCACGTACCACCCCACCAACCTCAGGATCCATAAGTCACAGATTAGCCATGATCTCATTCAATGGCAAAGCTACCTTGAAGTATGAACCTTGAGCAGGTCTACTCCTGTTCCTATTTTCGCATTTCTGCACGGTTAGCAGATTTACCTGCAATAACTACTTCAAGCAAAGCTGCTGGACCAGCAACAACGATGCTGCTCAGATTCTAACCTAAGTAATTTTTAAACCAGTTATATTTACATCGATTAATAGCAGTATTACACTTTATATAACTACAACATTATATTAAATGATACAATGAGATGCAAATATCACAACTTGGTTCCCGAGAGATTGTTTTCAGCCCCCAGCTGCTTCAGCATTCTGGACTTTCTAACAATAATACAATCTGATTCTTGGGTAAGCAATGACTAACTCCAATCTCCAGACTATCCATATAAATGCGTAGTTCCAGTCCACCGATATACTTTTGGACTTTTAAGTGAAAAATATCTTTTTTTATACTACTCAGCTGTTTGGTTGGCTTCTACATACAATACATTTCTTAGTGCATTATTGCATGATTACAACAATCATTTTACAAAAGGAAAATTTCTTGAAAAAATTATTCACTTTTAGTTGAAAAATTTCCCAACTCTTGCTGCCCAAATCTGGATTGAAAATCCAGAGCATTGTTTCCACTGGGATATCTAGAAAGGGATATCTGAGCAAGAGGCCAATATTTTAGGACTAAGATGAGGAGAAATTTCTTTGCTCAAACAGTTGTAAATGTTAGGAATTCTGTACCCAAGAGAGGAATGGATGTACCATAACTGAATATATTTAAAGATTTATACTTTTATACTTTAGACTGATTTTTTAATTCCAGCGATTGATGGGATATAGGAAACCGGCAGAATTGTAAAAGAAGACTATCCTTGATCATAAATCATGATGGAGCAGGCTCTTTGGTCTATCTGGGCTTCTCCTCCTATTTCCCTGCGTGTTTGCTGATGCCATTTATTTAGTAATTTTAACACATTCTAACTGACAGCCATAGCAAACATCCTGTATCTACTAGAAAGCTCCTGCTGAAATATTCATCTCATTTTTCATTATGAGCAGTTTAGTAATATTGGAGATTAATATTCTTAGTCAGCAATATTAGACAATGAACAATAGCAAGTTTATAAGCAATGACATCTGCTCGTTGCAGTCCGGAGTTATTCTCAATGAGCACTGTAATAAACACAAAGGAAGAGCAAAACGTTCCTTTTGAAGTACTTCATCGACTGCAATGAAGCTTCAAATTGGAAGTAGCAAGACGATGAATTTTGAGACACCATGGTCCTTTCAGAGGCTGTAAAATAATCCCCACTCCATCTTCACATTGCTGCACTCTCAAGTGGTGTTGGCAATGTCAAGGCATAATGTTGAAAATATTTCAGTGGACTTTAAGAAGATCAGATGGGCAATTGAAAATATGGGAGTGACACTCTGCCCCATTTGCAATTACTTTATTAAGGTGCATTTCATTAGCTAAACTAAGACTGTGGTAGTGAACAGGAAACATCAAGTTAACTAACAAATGTTCACTAATTCCTAGAACTGGAGAACCTATAAGTTTGAAAAAAATACTCTAAATATGTTATTCACAAAAGTTTAGCATATACATTACAACTTTCACTATTCGAGGAGTTGGTTAATATAATACTTACTGCAAATATTTGCATAATCTTCCTCTGAAGTGTTCATTTCCTGTTCAATAAAGTTGGATCCTCAATGCAACAGTGTGCATTGAGTTACAAGAGTTACTTTTGGAACATGGTTGCATTTAACATCCACTTGATGTCGATACAGATTAGACTTATACCGTTTAGTTGGTAGTAGTGCCTTTTCTCGTTTTGGTCCTTGCTGGCTCTCTGAGGTCAGATTACTTTGCTCCTGTAATTTGGATTCCAGTGACTGAGTTTTGGTATTAGCCATTGATACGCACAAATGTTACTTTATTTGAAATCTAGGATTACTCAATACAGCTCAATCCTGTTTTGTTATCTTTAGACATTTCCTTGAATGCAGCTGCTAAACAGAAAATTCCCACAGGTGCTCAGGGTGGAGACATTGTACTGGAGGATGACGATGATGTGTTTATGTCATCAGGCACCCAACGTTCCACTGAAGATCTCTTTACTGTTATTCACAGGTAAGAACGATGATGACGTTAGCTTCTAGAATTTCAGCAAACATGTTGCTCCGAAGTTGCCACAGCATTTCAGAAGGCCCATAGGAAATCTTCAGCATTAATGGCATAAATCATTATTAACAAATTTAATGAGCATTAATTCTGCTTATCACTGGCAGATAATACGTTACATTGTGGTGGACATGCCATGCACTGAATGATATTCTAATTAACTGCAGTGCCCTGAGCATAAAAAATAAACAAAATTATCTCTATAAGGACTTTATTGAAGTCCTTGCTTTACTCTTCCAGCACAGACATTTGAAGCAATTCTATGCCCAATGGAATTCTGCATTCTCTAAGGGCATTGAAGAATCAAAATGATAATTCTTTTATAACTAAGTTCACTTAGCATTCTTATTTCACCTAGTATCATTCTGCTGAGCTGTTATATCCTAAAAATGAGTTCAGGAGGGCCAGTCTCCCTGGATTTCTTTGTTCTTTAGCCTTGGGGATGGTTATAGTTTCATTGTTAACACTTAATCTCCATCTCTGCTGAATTAGTCTTCGTCCAAGACTTTGCTTTAATGACCAGTCTATCTCCATAATCTATATTTGTCCTTTGAGCCAAGTTCCTTTGAAGTAATTTGAAGTCAGCCTGATGGAACTTCATTATTTTTCTATAGGTCAAAGAGGAAGGTGCTGGGGTGGAAGGAGCCTGGAGAATCATTCAACATCAGGCATGTGGCTGTTTCACCTGTCAAACCCCCAACAACACCTCCCAACAGCGGACTCAAGGTTTCTCCCTCGGCGAGTGGGAATGGGGTCAAAACCAGCACCAGCAATGAGAACTTTAAGGCCTTATTACAAAAGAAGGGCAGCAAGCCTGCACCTGGTACACGCATGTCTGCTGCTGAGCTTCTGAAAAGCACCAACCCACTTGCGAGAAGGATTGCGACAGAATTTACACAGGAGTCAGAAAAGTGCCAACCCATACTGGATCCAGTGTCTCCTGAAGATACTTCAAAGTGTTAGAGCTGTGCCAATTTATGAAAAGAAAGGAGAGAAGATCAATGTTACTCTGTCTTATTGAATGTAAATTTTTAATTTTTGCTCTATCCATGGAGCCATTATACTGTTCCAAGGAAAGAGGAAGCTTTGCACAAACCTGTGAATGCAAACTTGAGTGATGATTTGCCCTTCATTTAGATACTTACAGAATGTCAAAATTTAAGTAACATTTTTATTTCAACCAATTTTTTGGATTAAGAACTCTGAGAAAGTTTCTCATTGTGAGGTGGAAAGAATGGGATAGTCAATTTGATTTGAATTAGTTTTAGTTGGACTGCAAAAGCCTGGAGCTTTGAAAAAATGTACAGCAGATAATCTACATTCCAGCCTGTCAGTCTAAGTGTACTAAGGTCCTATTGGGAATTGAAAATTTATAAGTTCCTTGGGCTATACTATGAGTAAAAATGCTTAGGTTCTGATTGTAAATTTTACATGCAACTCCAGTGATTACTGCTTATCAGTGTTAACCAGTCCAGCATTAAACTGAATTTGTGGGAATTTTTTTTTTTAGAGATTTTGGAGGTCTGAAAACTCCAATCAAAGGTATTCATACTACAAGAAACTTGGGAAGGAAATGACACATTTAGTGTCATGTTTCAGCTTTACACTGCCACTTGGTCCAAATTTGTTCTGTGAGTCTTGACCCACAGTGAGGCTTCAGGAAAGGAGAAACTCTCTTTAAGATTGTAAAATAGCTGGCTTTGCTGTATGACTGAGAGACTATGCCCATGTGCACCGAGGCTCGTGAAATCTACGTTGTCTTTCCCCGCATCTTCCCTTGAAAGAAAGCCATGGAAACAGGAGTAGAGGCAAAATTCAGGGTCCAGGAATTCATCACTGAGGTCTTGAAAATGGATAGTAGTATGATGATTTTTTTTGACTATTTGCTTAAGAAGCAGTTGTTTGCCTGATCTGTAATGTTTGTTGGAATAGTGCCTCCTATTAAGTTGTTAATTTTATCAATATACTGTAATCTGTATTATGGCATTGATATGTAAGAGTTATTTCAAAGTTTTTTTGGTTGTACATCAAAGGTAAGCCTTTGAATTTGAAAGCTTTTAAAAGGCCTTGGTGTTGCCTTGACAATGATATATAGCAATGATCTGAATGTAGAAACTCTGGAAGGTTTAAGCTTTGGTTGGAGGGGTTTAGTGGTTCCCACTGGTTCTAATCCTACATGCTGTTCACAGCCTTAGTCCATGTGCTTCTTTTATATTTCCTATTGTTCATAAGATAAACAAAGTCTCTATGATAAGTGAACCACAAATTGAAGCGTTCTCATGTTAGATCCAGAGCTACACCTGGATTCATGTCAGTCATTAGTAAAACTGTACCTCTCTGTTAACAGCCAGTGATAGCTGCCTTAAGCTTACAGGACAGCTTTTCCTCTGAGCCCATTGCCAGTGATAAGTTCCTCTAAACCCATAGACAGTAATGTGCCTGTGCCCACAGACAGAGCTGTACTTCTTTCAACACAACCTAGAGGAAAGAAACAATAAAAAAAAATTCATTTGGAAATAAACATACTGGTCATATTGGACTTCCGCTTTGAGATAAACAAGCCAAGTTAGACCATTATGTGCCATCCCCAAGTTTAACCATTTTATTGTCTCTGGGAAAGCCAGATTTATGTTCCACTCTGCTGAAAGGCAGTGCTGTGCTTCTGTCACCTCCGAACTAGAGCTGTGCCTATCCCAGTCCTAGGGCCAGAGTTATGATTGTTGTAGTGCTAAGACAGGATGCGCCTTTCCTCGACAAAGCAACAAGGTGGTATGCATCTGTGGTTTTAACCCTTGTACCCTCAAACTGGGATGGTGCCCTTGTCTTTATCCAATCCATATTAGTAATTTTTCAATCCCGAGGCAGAGCCACTGCTTTGTTCAAACCATTCCAGAACCAGAGCTATAGCGATTCCAAATCCCTGAAGCAGGTCTGTGCACAATGACGCCTCAACCTTTGGTAGTAACTGCATAGTTGACACAGGAGGTAGATTCATTAATCAACATGTTCTGAAGGTAATTAGAAATATTAATAGCATAATTAGGTTAAGAGTTTGTTAAATTTATTTTGCTTCAACCACTGAGGACAAGCTGGATATCACTATCCCAACCATTGGAGAACATTTGCATACCTCCCAGTCCCTGTCTAAGTTTCAAATTTATCTCAGGGTACTCTGTGTCTGGAGGAAATTACAAACTTAAGGAAATAATGGAGTTAATTATCTCTGATTAGTTAAAATATGTTAATAATGGAAAAACTCTGTCTTCATAATTTGCACAGGGTGGTTTATTATCTGAGTGAGTTACACTTTATCAGTTCATTGAAGCTTTCTGTAAATATTCATATTTTGTTTTATCTTACTGTTGAATGTATGAGGTTCCCTCTGCCCACCCCAAGTGTCACACATTGAAAGCATCACCATTTCTTAACCAGAGTGCGCTAACAATGTCGCATCATGGTGGGGCTGAGCAAATGCACCTTGTTATAAAAGGCATGTTCCACCATGTCAGAATGCAGTGAGCATCTGTCCTGTGAATTGTGAGAGATGAGTGCACTTAATTCGGGAGGACTCTGTGGCTTTGTTTCTGTGATGTCTTGCACTTAAATATTTGAAATGAAGTGTGCGCTTTAAAAGTGTCTCAGGAAATTGGGAATGATCTATAGTTATTTTTTCATATATTAGAAAATGCATTTGCCTCCCCCATAGCTTAGTGTGATATATATATATATATATAATCTTTTGGGACAATCATTAAAAAAAAACTTGAAGCAAATTTTATTTCAAGCTAGTTTTTCTTTCTCCGATCCCTTGCCATCTCCATAAAAGTCCATAACCAAGGTTTGTTAAAGTTTTAAATCTGCTCTGAGGCAGACATTGCTTTCAACTGAGCTAAGAAATCTTCTTGAGTTTAGAAATTATGTTTAATGGCATTTCAGTTTGTTTTCCCTCTTCTTGTAAGGATGTTGTTTCTAGAGTAGAATTCGACAGAGGTCAGCATCTTTCTAGTACTTCGACAAGGTAACCGTTTGTCAAATTTATGTCTAAACAATGATTATGAGATGGGCTTATAGAGGGATCACAATCAAACCTGACCTTGACCAAACACATCCTGTTACAATCCTCTTGGGTAGCTTATCATAAATTGAACCTCCACTGTTTTTGGAGCCAAAGCAAATTATGAAGTTTTTTAAAGGTTTTTTTATGGTATGTTTATTACAAAAATGTACCTGACTTTCAGCCTGAGGTTGATGGAAAGCATGGATTAAACATTTTTTGAGTGATTAGACTATAGCTACAAGTAAACAGATATAAATCTTTGCCATATATCACTATTGACCAGAACTCTAATCCCCCACTAAACACTCCATTACACACAGAAACATACACAGACAAATAGAGAAAATAGATTATTGGTGGAGGTAACAAAACAGACTGGAAAGTCAGTTGAATGTTCTGTTTCCTGATTCCAGTGTCGAGACGATCGTAGGTGCAAATTACTGCAGATACTGGAATCTGCACTGAAAACAAAAAATGTTGGAAATCACAGTGGGTCAGGCAGCATCCGTGGAGAGAGCAAGCTAACATTTCAAGTCTAGATGACTCTTCCCACTTTTGCTAGACAGGCCCTTGGTTTTCAACCATCTTTCACTGGAAGCTACCACTGTTTTGGATGAAGTACAGAGTGATTGATTCACTTGGAAAACATTTCTATTTGTCAACTTAAAAGACACACACCTCTCAACAGCTGCTTCAGGAATTTCAAACTGAGTTTTTCTTTATTGCAGAAAATAGGCAGCTTCTGTTGAGGAGAACAACCACACACCCATCAGTATCTTCCCCTCTCACTCTCATTCTTGCATGCTGTCTGTGTGTCTGTGTCTCTAACTTCTTTCCAGTTCCAACCTGCTCTTTCACTGAGAACCAGACATTTTAACTTATACACAGCTCCTCAGCTCCTGATCATCTGCACATTGTCTTGTAGTTATGAGTTCTTTCAGAGTTCACAATAGGTATTGAATTCCTTGCTGTGAAATTAAGCAGCCATCCTGGTAAAGTCCTGTTTTTATAAATCATTCTTTGTCTTTGCTTTTCACAATTTTTAACGACACAAAAATAAAAAGACACACTACTTGCAACACACACAGGTACTTATTGGCAGGGTCGATTTCTTAGTAATCTCAAGGGAAAGTAAAGTTCCTTGCTGTTTTTTAACTTACCACAGTTTGAGGAGACTAACGCTTTTGTAACAACTTTTCCGCTGAAGTCAGATGTGGAATATGGGATAAGGCAAATGCTTTGCTGATCTATATGACTACATTCAGTGTCATTTATTTATCCTCTGATCCATCAGATGAACCTTGATAAAAATAAAATATTTTCTTCCTGTATTCTCCTCTAGTTTCTAACAGGACGTGCCACCAATCCTGTGTGCTTGGGCATTCCTGTGTTTCTAGTAATACAGTTATACAACAGCTGCTTGGAAATATCTGTGAGAGTGCAAGTTTTTGATGACTAAATGTCTGCTTTCTCCTCATTATTCATGTATGGAATTTTGCAACCTAATGTGCCAAGTCTTGCAACAATTTGCTTTTTTAATAACCAGATACAAAATATAAACAAATTGTAACTTGTAACTTGTAACTTGTTTCAAAATTATTTGAGGTGAGATACAAACTAGAAAGAATTTCTTTTCTGCTGGTTACAATCTTCATAAAAGAAACCTCATTCCTCCGGTTCGTAGATAACATTGCTGCCCAGAGACAATTTGACCTATTATATCACAAGATTAGGCCTTCTTGAGGTTCTGTTCAAGAAGGTTGCCCTTAAACTTGAATTTGAAAGTTTCAAAATGGAACTATAGCTAAGTTAGATAAGTTGCTAATTGTAGATATATCTATCTTTATAATGTTAAGGAATATATAATGATTCAATAGAAGCCCCTTCCCTTTATGGTTCCTATCACCAAGCAGTTAATGACTTTGACTACAATGAAACTTCAGGAATTATGAAGAACTTGACCCTGACAAATGGGTAATTTTTATTTTGGACCTCAATCCCATAACTCAATTTTCAAAACTTGTGTCTTCTGTTTGATGCCATCATTCATAGATGTTATTATAATTCAGTTATTTGGTTGCAAGTTTAAAAAAGATGGCATGACTGTTGGGAGCTACCATCAAACATTTTTTTATTCTTTATCAGGAACAAAAACAGAAGTTGCTGGAAAAGCTCAGATGGTCTGGCAGCATCTGTGAACAAAAAATCAGAGTTAACGTTTTGGGTCCGGTGACTAAGGAAGAGTCAGCTGCAGTTCTTTTGGTTTTTATTTTTTCTTTAATGTTGTGGCTGAATATTATATGTACAGAAAGACAGGAAAATCTACAAAAATGTTGTTATCAATTGCTTTTCAGTTCTTAATTTCTTAATTGCTATCAACCCAGAGGAAGTACCAAAACATATTGTGCAATGTGGTCAAAATGTGAGTGTAAGGAGGGGATAGGTCAGTCCAGGGAGGACGAACAGGTCAAGGGGGCGGGATGAGGCTAGTTGGTAGGAGATAGAGGTGGGGCTTGAGGTGGGAGGTGGGGATAGGTGGGAGGAAGGACAGGTTAGGGAGGCGAGGACAAGCTGGGCTGCTTTTGGGATGCGGTAAGGGGAGGGGAGATTTTGAAGCTTGTGACGTCCACATTGATACCATTGCGCTGCAGGGTTCCCAAGCGGAATATGAGGTGGTGTTCCTGCAACCTTCGGGTGGCATCGTTGTGGCACTGCAGGAGGCCTAGGATGGACATGTCGTCTGAGGAATGGGAGGGGGAGTTGAAATGGTTCGCGACTGGGAGGTGTAGTTGTTTGTTGCGAACCGAGTGTAGGTGTTCTGCAAAGCGGTGCCCAAGCCTCCGCTTGGTTTCCCCGATGTAGAGGAGGCCACATCTGGAACAGCGGATACAGTATACCACATTAGCAGATGTAGAAGGTGTTGTCAGCTCCACACTCCCCTCCAGCCCCACCACAGCCGGCACTTTTCCCTGCAACTGCAGTAAGTGCTACACCTGCCCCTACACCTCCCCCCTCACCCTCATCCCAGGCCCCAACAAGACCTTCCACATCAAGCAGATGTTCACCTGCACATCTGCTAACATGGTATACTGTATCCACTGTTCCAGATGTGGCGGCCTCTACATCGGGGAAGCCAAGCGGAGGCTTGGACACCGCTTTGCGGAACACCTACGCTCAGTTCGCAACAAACAACTGCACCTCCCAGGTCGCGAACCATTTCAACTCTCCCTCCCATTCCTTAGGCAACATGTCCATCCTGGGCATCCTGCAGTGCCTCAACGATGCCACCCAAAGGTTGCAGGAATAGCACCTCATATTTCGCTTGGGAACCCTGCAGCCCAATGGTATCAATGTGGACTTCACAAGCTTCAAAATCTCCCCTCCCCCTACCACATCCCAAAACCAGCCGAGCTTGTCCTCGCCTCCCTAACCTGTCCTTCCTCCCACCTCAAGC